GCCACACAAACCTTACCAAATTTGGTATGAGATAATTTTAGTGGGACAGACCGATAAGGTAAAATGGGACAATCATAGCGGGACGGAGGTAGTACTTTATTTTCTTGTTCTTAGTTACACTTTTGTAATTAATATGAGCATTAGTAGCTAATTTCTTAGCTAAGGCTAGGGATGAACTTCTATGCCCACTAGGTGTTTGATAAAAGTTCTAAACCAATAAATTGTGATTTATCCTTTATACTTTGATTGTTTATGACTATGGTGTACAACATAGAAGTATGTTAAATTTAGTTTATACTTGCAATTAACGTTAAGTCTAAACTATGAACATTAAAGGATAAACATATATAGTACCGAGAATAGAAATATATCCGGTCTTATATGATACGGGTGTGATGCCTTGATATTCAACGGAGTTTTCGGTAGATGAATGTAAGCCGTAACGGGACTTACACGTAACGAAAACCACTCTCTCGTTGCCTTAACCGGAGTTAAGAATATATTAGTCACATCGTATTCATAATTATTGGCAAAGAACTAATATTCAACCCTATTAAAGCATTTAAGTGATTCCCGAACCCTTAGTTGTTGTTATCATTAATTTTAAACTCAATATTAGTTAACAATTATCTTCTTGAACAAAAAGTGAAAACCAAAATTATAAAACACAAATCAAAATCCCTACTCTTTACTCATTTATTCATTTAAAGTCATCTACTCTCAGACTAAATTAAACAACGTTTCCTTGTGGATTCGACCCGATATTTTACCGGAATTTATTACTATATCGACACTTGTACCCTTGCAAGTTTAGCCCGGTCATATTTGATAAATAACATTTTTGAACTACTTTATTGTTATAAAGTTGTCTTCTTCTTCTTCTTCTTCTTCTTCTTCTTCTTCCTCTTCCTCTTCCTCTTCCTCTTCCTCTTCCTCTTCCTCTTCCTCTTCCTCTTCTTCCTCTTCCTCCTCTTCCTCTTCTTCCTCTTCCTCTTCCTCCTCCTCTTCCTCTTCCTCCTCCTCTTCCTCTTCTTCCTCTTCCTCTTCCTCTTCTTCTTCTTCTTCCTCCTCTTCCTCTTCCTCTTCCTCCTCCTCCTCTTCCTCCTCCTCCTCTTCCTCTTCCTCCTCCTCTTCCTCTTCCTCCTCTTCTTCCTCCTCCTCCTCCTCCTCTTCCTCCTCCTCCTCCTCTTCCTCCTCCTCTTCCTCCTCCTCCTCCTCTTCCTCATCCTCTTCTTCCTCCTCCTCTTCTCCTCCTCCTCTTCTCCTCCTCCTCCTCTCCTCCTCCTCTTCTCCTCCTCCTCCTCTCCTCCTCCTCCTCCTCCTCCTCTTCCTCCTCCTCCTATGCCAACATATGTCAGTAATATCATCTTGATCGCAATTTTTAAGAAAAATTTGGCATTTTCGAAGAGTAAAAATGGCATATTCATGGCATTTTCAGAGAAAAAATGCACTGTTTACACAAAATGGCATTTTTCGCTGATTGGAGTTGGCATTGCTGGGGCATGGGAGGTGGCCGAGGCTGCGGGAAAACCCTCCATTTTTTTTAATGTTTTTAATGTGTTTTATCTGTTTTTTATTTATAAAGTTTTTTTAAATTATCTTTTATTACTATTTATTATTTTAGTATTTATTAAAAATATTTCTATTTTTTATTTTTTACTATATTTTTATAAATTGTTTTTTTTATTACGGAGTATAATGTAAAATATAATTATCCTGTTAAATTATGGTATGGGTAGAATAAGAAGATAAAGTTTATTTGGTTCTATTTTGGGATGATAAATAACATAGTCCTATTTATGCATTTAGGGATCACTTTATTAGTCCTATTATGAGGCTATTGACGAAAAAGGAACTAAATAAGTGTAAGTAAAAAGCAAGTAGAGTAAATAATTAGTGCAGTGAGAAAAAGATCTTTTGCATGAAGAAAAACTAATATATATATATATATATATATATATATATATATATATATATATATATATATATATATATATATATATATATATATATATATATATATATATATATATATATATATATATATGGAGCGGTTCCGGTAAGAACGGACTCCCTGGAGAGAAATAAGAACGAATCTCGACCGTTGGATTGTATTATGTGGAACAGAAATGTGCATTTGATGAAACTGAAATGTGTATTACATGATACTGAAATGTGTAGAATAAAAATTTAAACTCAATTGTGCATTAGGTGAAACTGAAATGTGCGGAATAAAATGTACAAAAATAACATCTCATCGTACCTTTTATTCTGCACATTTCAGTTTCACCAAGTGCACGTTTCAATTTCACCTAATGCACAATTCAGCTTCACTTAATGACATTGTATCATACGCTTTGTGTTGCACATTTCAATTTTACCTAATGCACATTACAATTTCATCTAATGCACATTGAATTTCACTTAAAGCAAATCTAACGGTCCAGATTCGTTCTCATTTCTCTCCTAAGATCATGTTCTTATTTGAACAAAAACCTATATATATATAGATAGATAGATAGATTCCGGATCAAATAAAAACCTTTCTTTCCGTGAAAACTAAAAACCGGCCACTTCCCCCCATTGTGATGCACTATTAGGTTTCTATTTTGCACTTTTTCACAATGGCACACAACTTTGACTTATTTACAGAAGTGCCACCGTTTTTTTCTATTTGACATGATTCAACTAGAGTTCAAAAGTGCAAGAGACGAGCCTTAAAGTGAATCAAATTGAGCCAAAAGTGACGGTTTGCAGTTTGCACGATAAGGATGGTTTTTATCGGAACCGCACCATATATATAGGAGATGGTTCAAATACAAAGACCTCTTCCCATGCAAAGTGAGAATGAATCTTGTGCATTCATTTCCACATCTAATGGCTCAAAATGAGCCAAAACTGCACAAAATTCGACCAAAATTGCGGTGGCGATTTCGTAAATATGTTGCACTTTTTCGTTACCCGCGAAAAAGTGCAACAGAAACACGCAAAAGTGCAAGTGAAAGATGCGAAAGTGCATATCTTCGCACTTTGCACGGGAAGAGGTCTTTTTATTTGAACTCTTCCCTATATATATATATATATATATATATATGAAAATGAAATAATAAACGGGAAGAAGAAGAAAACGAAGGAAAAAATGAATACATAAACATGGAAAAGAAATAAAAATAAGAATAAGAGGACGAAAAATGGGATAAAAAGTTAAGACGATGAAAATAAAAAGGGAAACGTTTTAGGGAGAAGAAAGAAAAACGATATGTGGGTCCGTTTGGAGAAAATTTATGAAAGGTGAGATTTATGGTTTAATGTTTTGCAAAGAAAAGAAAACAACATGGAACATCAAGTCATCAATCAGTCAGAGACCAACGAATCAAGATGGAGTGAAAAGGTTAGATTATTACCGAATTACGAGTAGGTGGGACTGTTATAGGAAGTCCGATAAGAGGTTGGATTATTGGTTTTCATTTTCCCGAAAATATAACGGCTCTTAGCTTTTAGACCACTTGGAGTGGTGTAGAATTAGGAGTCCAAAATGTTAAAAGTGGAATTTTTGAACTCTTAAATCCTTGTTGTGGTTGGCTAAATGGGGGAGTAAAAATGAAGAAGAGGATGAAGATGTTATATTTGAAGGGTGTCAAGGAGGGGGCTAAAAGAAAAAAGGAAGGGGAGTGGGGGCGGCTAACTTGTGTGCAGCAAAGGGAAAAGGGGAAAGAAAGAAAAAAGAAGGAAAAGGACGGATGCAAGGTTGCTTATTTTGTGCGGATGATGTCATGCAAATGTCATCCTTGCATCATAATATCTCAATTGTTTTAAAACTTATAATGGGGTGGGCAAAATTACCGAATCGGCATGGTACCGAACCGAACCGGTATGGTACCGGACCGGAAAACGGAGTTTCAAACGGTTCTCAAAATTTTTGTTCCGAACCGGACCGTACCGGTTCCAAACCATGCAATGACCGGTTCTCATAAAATGAGAACCGATACCAGACCGAATCGGATCGAATTATAATTTCATTAATTTATATAATTTTATAATTATATATACATGTATACCATATTACCGTTACTTTGATTACTCATTTGCACTTTGCTAATTGCTAGTTCACTGCAAGTTGCCTGCAGGAACACTATTACATCCATTAGTGATTTTAATCTATTACATCCATAATAGTGATTTTGGATGTAATAGATTACAGTATAATCTATTACATCCATAATTATTATTAGTTATTACATTTTGTACTATTATAGTTTATATGAAGTTCATTAACTATGTAATATGAAAAAAATGAAAATTGATAATTGTGTGGATTTTTGGATGATGACTAAGTTTTAATTTGTCAAAAAAAGTGGCATTGTTTGGTATTGGTATGGCATGGTACCCGACCATTTGAAAATGAAACCGTACCGAACGGGTTTAGGTCTAAGACCGAACCAAACTGAACCGTTTCAGTAGTAACGGTCCGGGTACGGGTTCGGTAAAATATTGGACCGGACCGCACCCACCCCTAACTTATATAATTTTTTTATTTTTTCTGCAAATTTTTCAAAAAATATATCAAAATTCATAAATTTTTACGATCTGACACTAATATGTAATATATAAATGAAAAAAAAAACTGAAGTTTTAACTGTTGAAGTTTTCTTGAGCCCCCAAAAAACACGAAACACAAATTTTTAATTAATGGAGCCTTCACAAATAATTGAATACTCCATAATCAAACTTTACTTGAATTAAATTCTTTTTTTGTCAAATCGAAACGTGTTTTTTTATTTTATAATTAATCAGCGAAAAAATTAAAAGAAAAACATTACTTATAATAATTTAATTAATGTTTTACTAAATTGATATGGAAAAACATATGCAGAGTGTATTTTACTGACGGTACTGGAATACAAAGAAATAGGAGTCAAAACACTGTTTTCATATGGACGGAGTCCATTTTTGAAATTAAAACTCTCACACCACTCCAAATGGTTTTAGTTGGACAAAAAATATGATCAATTTCCGTTTAAGACAAATAAGAGGCTGAAATAATATTAAATATCTAAAATATCCCTGAACCCCAATTCCTCGCACGTCTCTAATTTGCTTCAACCTGAAGAGCTCGACCATCAATCAGTCGGCTTTTGATCTGGAGTGCAGGAGACTACAAATCTGAGTGCACGCTGCTATGGATCTGGAGTGCAGGCGGCCGTCGATCTCCCTTCGTCGATTGAAACTTTGAAGATGTCTTCTGCCTCGACTTCTTGATTCACAACGAGCTCGGACTTCTCCGAAGGTGATAAATCAACATCCGTCAAGGAAGCAGGCATTAAAACCGATCTGAGTGCAGCTATGGATCTGTGTTACCCTCTTCGTTGTCGATGGGCTGTAAGTCTGTAACTCCATCAGGTGTTGAATCATGTTGTCGTCTTCTCCCTATCGGTCCGAGGAAGGGTGAGGCTGTTGGAAGTAAACTTGTCAGTTAAATTTAGTTACCTATTATTATTATTATTATTATTATTATTATTATTATTATTATTATTATTATTATTATTATTATTATTATCATCATTATCTATTTTACTACATATGTAATTAGGAGATAATTAGTAGGATAAGTTACTTAATATAAGTGGTGTAGGTGGGTTGTAAATGGGAGGTTTTTTCATCCACTTAGTTTAACCAACTCCACCCATTTTTACGTATAAAATAGGATGTGAGAGGGGTGCAAAACTAAGACGGTTTTTCCTCCTTCTTTACAAGATATTATCAACATACTTAATAAAAGTTTAGTATTCTACATTGCATGTATATTGTTTACGCATAAATTCATATGTTCTTATGCATGCATGAATTATAAGGTGTATTACAACATTTGGTATCAGAGCACACGGTTGGATTGATCCTAGTATCATGAGTTTGTCCAGATCTTCATCATCAAGTGAAGGACTTGGAGGTGGTATCGAATTCGGTCGTGATGAAGATGACAATGTGAAGAGTCAAAGTAAGGAAGGCTCTGTCACTTTGAAGTATCCTATGTTGAACAAAAGCAACTACGCAACATGGGCTATCAAGATGGAGGTCTTCATTATAGCCCAAGGGGTATGGGATGTTGTGGAATCAAATGCACCAGTTGACAGAAGAAAGGACAAAATGGCACTGACAGCAATATACCAAGGGATAGGAGAGGATACACTCCTTCAATTGGGAGCAAAAAGGACAGCTAAGGAAGCATGGAATATGTTAAGCACAATGCATTTAGGTGCTGAAAGAGTGAAACAAGTGCGCACCCAAACATTGCTTCGTGAATTTGATGGAATGATGATGAGCAATTCAGAAAGTGTGGATGATTTCTCTGGGAAGTTGCAGACAATTGTGACCAAGTTAAGAGGCCTGGGAAATGTGATTGAGGAGGAGAAAGTGGTGAAGAAATTACTAAGAAGAGCAGCACCCAAGTTCTTACAAATTGCATCAACCATAGAGGAGCTTTGTGACTTGAAAGTAAAGGCAGCAGAGGAGATAATTGGATCCTTCAAAGCACATGAAGAGAGACTGGTGAGACAAAGTTCCACTAATGAAGAAACTGTTCTCCTCACCGGGGCTGAATGGAAAGCCAGAGATGAAGTTAGACCTCAAAACAACTTCAGAGGAAGGGGAAGAGGTCGTGGAAGAGGAAGAGGTCAAGGAAGATCCAGAAATGAAGAAAACCAACCTCAGCAAAGAAGAAAATTTGATAAGTCCAAAATCCAGTGTTACAATTGTAGCAAGATGGGGCATTTTGCATCTGAATGCACTCAGGAGGAGAAGGAGGAAGGGACAAACCTTGATGAGGAAGAAACAGAAGAAGAAGCACCCTCATTATTGATGATTGAAACATGTGAACTGACCAAGTCTCATGTGTCAATATCAAAGATGATTTCACCTTATAAGAAGAATAATGATGAATCAATGACATGGTGGTATTTGGACACGGGAGCAAGTAACCATATGACAAGAACCAAATCTCATTTCACAATCTTAGACACCACAGTGAAAGGGAAGGTGAAGTTTGGTGATAATTCCATGGTTGACATAACAGGTTTGGGTACTGTTGTGTTTCAGTGCAAATCAGGGGAGCATATATCATTACCCAATGTATACTACATTCCTAAACTCAAGAGTAATATTATTAGTCTTGGACAATTGGATGAATCAAGAGGAAAAATCACACTGAAAGGAGGAATCTTAAATGTGTTCAACAGAGACAACAAGCTTATCTTCAAAGTGGATAGGAAGGAGAATAAATTGTTCATGGTGTGTCTCAAAGTGATTGAGAAAGCTTGTCTGTTGAGTAAAGTTTTAAGGACAGAACTACTATGGCATGCCAGGTTTGGGCATGTGAACTTTCATGCACTGAACAAGATGTCAAACAATGCTATGGTGGAAGGAAGGCCTAGGATTGCACTAGCAAGTCACATTTGTGATGGATGTATGATGGGGAAGCAACACAAAACCATATTTCCTCAAAAGACAACCTATAGAGCACAAGAAAGACTGGAACTTGTTTATGGTGACTTGTGTGGTCCAATCAAGCCATCAACCCCGGGAGGTAAGAATTACTTCTTGCTTATAATAGATGATTATTCACGTTTTATGTGGATAACCTTACTAAAATAGAAAGGAGAGGCATTTGAAAGTTTCAAGAACCTGAAATACAAGTTAGAGAAAGAAGAAGGGCTGAAACTTAGATGTCTTAGGACAGACAGAGGAGGTGAATTCACATCACTTGAGTTCAAGACTTTCTGTGAGCAAGAAGGAATATACAGACAACTGACAGCACCCTACTCACCTCAACAAAATGGAGTGGTGGAGAGAGAATCAAACCATCATGGAGATGGTAAGATGCATGATGAAGAGCATGGGAGTGCCTGGGAAGTATTGGGGTGAGGCAGTCAATATAGCAGTGCATATCCTAAACAGATGCATGATAAGAAGTGTAAGTGAGAAGACTCCTTATCAAGCTTGGTACAATAGAACTCCAAATGTGAACTATGTTCATGTGTTTGGCTGTGTGGTTCACATAAAGGCATCAAGACCTCACTTGCAAAAGTTAGAAGATATAAGTATAAAGGGCATTCTGCTGGGATATGAGGAGGGATCTAAAGCTTATAGGCTATTGGATCCAGTACAGGGAAAAGTGATAATTAGCCGGGATGTGATATTTGAAGAAGATAAGAAGTGGTCATGGGATTCCAAAGTGGAGGAAGAGTTAGAGTTAGAAAGGGAAAATTATGCAGCCTGCATAAATGACACAGAATCAGTGCAAAGGAGAGAAGTAAGTAACAATGCCAGAAGAGAAGGAGAAGTGAGAACTGAAAGTCATGAATCAAATGATATGTTCATGAATTCACCTGAACCACAAATCAATTCCAGCTCAAGTGAAGAACCTTTACACTATAGGTCCTTACAAGAAATATATGATGCCACTAGGGAAATCACAGAGGAGGTTAGTCTATGTTTTCTTTCTATAGAAGAAACTAAGGATTTTAATGAAGCTGTAACTAAGGAGAAACGGAGAAATGCAATGGCACAAGAGCTGGATTCCATTCAGAAAAATGGGACATGGGAACTTGCAGATCTTCCAGATAGTCACAAGGCTATTGGACTGAAATGGATTTTCAAGATAAAAAAGGATCCAGAAGGAAATGTAACAAAATACAAAGGAAGACTTGTTGCAAAGGGGTACAGTCAAAAATATGGGATTGACTACTTGGAAGTGTTTGCACCAGTAGCAAGGATGGAGACAGTCAGGACCTTGTTAACTTTGTCAGTTCAAAAGGGATGGCTGGTACATCATATGGATGTAAAAAAGCATTCCTAAATGGAGAATTAAAGGAGGAGGTTTATGTCAGTCAACCAGAAGGGTTTGTGAATGAAGAATGGCCAGAAAAGGTGCTAAGGTTGCATAAAGCTCTGTATGGATTAAAACAAGCTCCTAGAGCTTGGAATGAAAAATTGGATAAATGCCTAAAGTTTCTGGGATTCAAAAGATGTATATATGAGCACGCAGTTTAAATAAAAGGGACAGGGATGGGCATAATCATTGTTGGTGTGTATGTTGATGATCTCTTTCTCAGCTACTACTTGGGGTTGGAGGTTAGACAAGCAGAAGGTGTCACAAGCCTAAGTCAAGCAAGCTATGCAAGAAGAATTCTAGAACTGATGGGAATGGGAGAATGCAATCCCTGCAGCATACCTATGGAGCCAAGAAGCAAGCTAAGCAAATATGATAAAGGAATACCAGTGGATGCTACTTTGTACAGAAGTGTGGTGGGAAGCTTGAGGTATTTAGTCAACACCCGTCCTGATCTTGCTTATTCAGTAGGCATAGTGAGTAGATATATGGAAGCCCCAACTCAAATTCAAATGAATGCAGTGACGTGCACTTTGTCGTAGTGTGCACTCAAAATAAATACAATACAACAATTATACGTAGTATAACGAAGTAAGGTTCGTATCCATAGGGAAAGGAATACTTTTCTTTTACGTAACTAGTAACAAGGGGTTTTTTTGATTTGATTTAATAATACTAATATGAACAATCTATATGAGTTTAATTAATAGAGATGGGGACTTGGTTTTGCTTTTATCCACTTAATGAAATGTTCGTGAATCCCGGTTATATCTTTAACTATCTTCCTCTCGAATACTCAATCGAGGAGTATATCCAGTTCATCGAGGGTAGTTATTAATAACGAGACACGTTCATTAATAAAACTTACTACCGAGTCAATATAGAACACGCGCCGTATATTAACCCGATAGTAGCAATAAACTTAAGATGAAAATGATTGAGATTGATAACCTCAACACAAGTGGTTTATTGGTTTAATCAATATAATTAATTCCCCTTATATTATTGACCATGAGACGCATGCATTAATAACAAGTGTATTAATCGATTGATTCTAGTAATAATTAATATATGAAACAAAACTAGTTGATTCTTTAAGTAATGCTCAAAATATTAATATGGAATATGAATAGGAAATAATTAATATTCAAGGAAGAGGATTAAAGAAAATAACTCACAACTTACAAATTCATTAAGCTTCAAAGTAGCAAAACCAAGATGAAAGAGTTTAGCTCCTCATTTGGAGACTAAACATGAAGAAAATATAAAGAAAGAACTTGTCTAAACTGAGCTAAGAAGTATATGTGAATTGGTGTTTTCTTTGGGAAGGAAAGGGGGTATTTATAGGCTTTTGGAGCATGCAGGGGTGTGTACCAGATCAGGCATCAAGGGCACCCGATCGGGTATCTTCACTGGCTTCCCGGAAGCTCAAAAAGTGGGACATACCCGATCGGGTATGTCGGTCACCCGATCGGGTATGACACTCGAACGTGGTCAAATATCTTCCTGCATGTTGCCTTGTCCCGGATCCAATTCGATTTGATATTTCAACAAGGTACCCGATCGGGTATAGGTCATACCCGACCAGGTACAGACCAAAAATCAGGATCCTCTATTTCTTTTTTGATTTTGTACCTTCCTTCCACTTTTGGGGTTTCACCAATGGTCCCTTGAGTGATCATGGACCTGTTTGAGCTCAGAATAAACCTTATCTAAACAATTTACAAGTATTTTACATACTAAACTATTACACCAAAAGTGTGTAATTTCCAAAGTACAATCAATCAAAACTAATTAAAAACATAAACATAAACATGTAAATTACGTGAATGTCATGCACTAAAACAAATCCTGAGATATATAAAGGGGACTAGTGATATGGACTGCATCTTCAGAAGAGGGGAAGGAAACAATGAACTAGTTGGCTTTTGTGATAGTGATTTGGCAGGTGATTTGGCAGGTGAGGCAGAGTACATTGCAGCTACTGGAGGAGCATGCCAGGGAATTTGGCTCACAAAATTGCTGAACAACTTAAATGAAGAAGCAAAGAGCAAGCCATTGTTGAAGGTTGATAATAAATCAGCAATAGCCTTAGCTAACAATCATGTACATCATGAGCGTAACAAGCATATAGATACAAGATTCCATTTCATCCGGGAATGCATTGAAAAGGGAGCAATCAAACTGCAGCATGTTAGAACAGGGGACCAGCTAGCTGATATACTAACAAAGCCACTTGGAAGACAAAGATTTTCAGAGCTCAGGTCAAAGATTGGAGTGCAGTTCATAACTGAGGGGAACAAGTTTAAGGGGTGAATGTTGGAAGTAAACTTGTCAGTTAAATTAGTTACCTATTATTATTATCTATTTTACTACATATGTAATTAGGAGATAATTAGTAGGATAAGTTACTTAATATAAGTGGTGTACGTGGGTTGTAAATGGGAGGTTTTTTCATCCACTTAGTTTAACCAACTCCACCCATTTTTACGTATAAAATAAGGTGTGAGATGGGTGCAAAACTAAGACGGTTTTTCCTCCTTCTTTACAAGATATTATCAACATACTTAATGAAAGTTTAGTATTCTACATTGCATGTATATTGTTTACGTATAAATTCATATGTTCTTATGCATGCATGAATTATAATGTGTATTACAACAGTGGCATGGGGGGAGAGGAGCTCGGACCGACAGCAAAAAGCTCGGGCCAATGGCGAGAAGCTCAAACCATCGCGAACATGCATCGACCGCCAATGATGTCATCTTCTTCTCTTACTTTTGTCTAGAATTCGCAGATCTAGATATTGGCGTTGATTGTGTGAATCCGATGGTGGTCGACGTCACTGTGGTCGGCGTCACTGTAGCCGGAGTAACACTATGGCAGATGTAACTCTGACACGTCATGTTCAGATAAAGTTATCGGAGATTAGGGCTAATTTAGTTAGTTTTTCACTTGTTAGACACTTTTTTTGAAATTAAAAAAGGCCACTTTTTGTCTGTCATCCTGTTTTAATATGTGGTACGTCGACGACACCAAAGTCGTTGTGTGCCTCAAAATAGATTCAATACTAACACTTGTACAGGAGTAGAGTTTATATCCACACGGAAAGGAAATACTTCTCTTTTATGAAATCTGTAACTAAAAGGGGGGATTTTAGGATTGTTTTGATTTAATAAATTAAGCAAAAAGATGAACAACTTATGTGATTTAGATTAATGAGATTAATGACTTGGTTTTGCTACTTTCCGTTTGTTGATATTTTTGTTGATCCCGATTATATCTTTAACTTGTGCCCTCTCAAATACTCAATCGAGGGTAATTATTAGTAACGAGAAGTTCATTAACAACTCTTACTAGTAGACAAATATAGAACACCGTCGTATACCGACTTGATAGTGACATTTAGTCTCTTAAACTCCTTGATGAAATCAATTGAGATTGATAACCTCAACACAACGGTTTCGATTTAACCAACATAATTAATCCCTTTTAAGATTACTAACCATGAGACCATGCATTAATAACCCGAAGTTAGTTACTTGTGAAACCATCAATGATTAACCATCGATTCATTGATCATTTCTAGTAGTAATTAATGTCGAAGCTTTAACTAATCGTCACTTAGCAACACCCCAACATTAATATAGAGACAAGATTAAGGGAATAATTAATATTCAAGAGAAGAAGTTAAGAAAATAAGTCACAACTTAAACATTTAACAAACTTCAAGAGCAAAATAAAAAATGAGAGTTTAGCTCCTCATTTTGAGACGAAACATGCTAGAAAAATATAAAGAAATTACTAGTCTAAGTTGAGCTAGAGTATATGGATCAGGTAACTTCTCCTAGACAGAATCTTTTATGTCTAAAGCTCTCCTCCTTTGATACAAAACTTGCCCAATCTTACCATTACTTTTACAAATCACAAATGAATGCTAAAATACAATAACAACCTAATTAACTAAAACCAATGATTACAAACTTCACAATAAAGGTAAACAATCATCACAAACAAAGGTAAAAACATACACTTATGCACTAACAATTAGTGCATATCATAATATGTTGAAATGTTGAAATATAATTATAATAATCATTGTTCAATATTGAATAGGACATCAATATGTTATTATTTGTATTTTGTAGTTTTTAAATAATGATTTTAGTACATTGCTAGTAGCACCTATTTTGTGTACAAAGTTCTAGTATAACACGGTAACCCATACAACACCAAAATTTATGCATAGCAAAATATTGTATCCCGAAAATTTTTGATACAATAACAATTTGTATTTTTTGTATACCAAAACTTTCGGTACGACAAAGATATGATATAAAACATTTAGCATATATCTCAATGGATTTTCAGCTTTTAAACCCATTAAAATGACACCAATGTTTTTCAACTTTTAATGAATTTGCACCTCCTCTAAAATGCTTTCAGTGACTGTAATGTAATAAAAAATTTGGACCGAATTGGGACCATACGGGCTGGCCTCGCTCCAGAAATGACAGTCGGGATCGGTCTTTGTGGACCAATCTCGAGGGCCTGTCTCCTAACCAAACATGCTCTAGTAGTTCTGGGCTGGTCCCAAGAACCGACCGGTCCCGAGACCGAGACTTGCAGAGCCAAATTGCTCCTATGATGATGATTGATTTTATGTTTGACGATGGGAGTGGAGTCTGTTACTCCCTCCGGTTCTTATTAAAGTTCCCAGTTTGACTTCACACATATTAAGAAAATGAATTTGACTTTACTGTGGAGTGCACCGTTTGGCACTGTTTGGCACTGTTTGGACACTGTTTGACACTGTTTGGCACTGTTTTGCATTGTTTTGTTTCCTAAAATGGAAGTGTGAACTTAAATAAGGAACATCCCAAAAAGGAAAGTGAGAATTTTAATAAGAATCGGAGGAAGTATTTATCTCACTAGATGTTTGTAATTTTGTGTATCCAAAATTATACCGAGTAGGGAGTATGAAATGTCATCGAGTAAAATGGGGTATACAGAATCGTTTTCTGAAACATACATACAGATACTGTTTCATTTGAATAGAAAAAAGGATTCATTAAATTGGAAAATCAATACCAGATATGGGCACGTGAACTTCTGAGAGTTCCGAGTACGAGTATTAATGTGTGGTGACGGAAACGAACATACCCCGTAACCTATTTCATGCAGAATTCGTAGCCCTAATTAACTCCTCTGTCATCCCTTACCATTATTTTTGCCTTACAGCCTTTTTTTTCTGCACATTTTGATTATTTTCAACTGTTTCACCTATCAAATCACCCAAAATTACAGTACTCCCTCCGTTCCCAAAAACACTTCCCACTTTCCTTTTTGGGTTGTTCCCAAAAATACTTCCCACTTTCCCATTTTGGACAGTTTGTGTGACTCACATTCATTTTACCTTTTTCTTACACAACCACAACCATACATTTCCACTTTATTCCACTTTCTTAATAAGCGTGCCAAGTCAAACCGGGAAGAATTTTTAGGAACCGAGGGAGTATTTTGTTTCACCTTCACAAAATACACTGTAGCTTACCTATGGATCGGAACGCAAACACATAAATATTGACGGTTGATCTTAATAGCGTAGTTCAATATTTTATTAATATTGTGGATTCCTATCGTAATTACTAGTAAACTCACTCGTGCGATGCACGTTCAAAGGATTTTTCTTTCAAATTTATTTGTGCTCACTAATTTAAATTACACTATCAATTGATGACGACATCTCTCTCCAATACTGATATAGATCAAAGCAATGAACGAAACACACTTAACTTACACAAAGAAATTTATAAAATATCGATGCACGGTTGGTGAATTTGCACAAGTGTAATTAATTTTATTAGTTAAATTTGAAATAAAAAATTAATATGTAATTTTAATTGAATTGTTTAGAATTACTACATATATAATACTCCCTCCGTTCCTAAATAAACTTCTAACTTTCTTTTTTTGTCCGTTCCGATTAAAACTTCTACTTTCCCTTTTTAGTAAAGAATTTGTGATTCACAACATTTCTTACACATTTCTCTCTCCTCTGCACAACTCTCCACCACACAATACCCACTATCTTAAACTGTGTGCCAAACCTATTTGGAAGTTTAAATAGGAACGAATGGAGTAATAAAGTTTGATATAAATTGGAATATATTCAATACATTTTACCAATGGTTAGTCGCCATAAGACAAATTTTTACAGTCCTGCAAAATATATAATTACCATGTAGTATAAGGGTATGTTTGACACAACTAGCTGAAAAGATGCTTAAATTTTTTTAGTAACTGTTATCTTTTAGTAACTGAAAAGATCTTAAAAAGAAAAGGCGATAGCTGTTTGGCAAAAAGCTGACTATTCGATTTAGTTTTGTTTGGTATACAAGCTGTTAGGAATAATTAATACTAACAGTCACGGACTTTTCTCGGATGCGACTCCATGTAGCATCTCAAAAAAGATCTTTTATTTTGTGAAAAGCTCTTAAAAATTGTCATGCCAAACATACATCTAGAAGTTTTTAAAGACTTTTTAAACAATACAAAAACTAGAAGGTAGAGACTTATGTCTACCAACACATGCACTAATTAAATATAATTTGAAAACACATTACAGTCATGCTAAATCTTATAAAACACTTCTTTATACAAAACATTCTCGGTTTCAATGGCAGTTCATGTCATAGTTTGTTGTGTGATTTTTTATACTCGTCGATGGGTTATTCTAGACACAATCACGTAAAATGGACCATGACTAAATATATACTCCCTCCATCCCTTATAACTTTGCCAACTTTTTTTTTGGATGTCCCGCTAACTTTGCCACTTTCCTTTTTAAGTAAAGAATTTGTGGTTCCAGTTAATTCTCTCTCCTCTATACAAACCTCAACCGCACAGTTTTTACTTTATTAATCCCCGTGTCGGTCAAACTTGACAAAGTTATTAGGGACGGAGAGAGTATATTTTCAACAACAAACCAACACACGACAACGACAATCTTTGACTTTTATTTACAATTATGACATAATAAGTCATGTTCAGATATTATCACATCCGAAATTGGAATGTCAAACTAAAATTTGAAGGTGTTAAGGAATGTTTGTGAATTCACACCTTTTCTACCACACTAACTGCTGCTCAAAATCTTCCTTCATAAAATGCTTTGCTAGTAATTCACCTGCATGATGAACATATGATTTTGTCAAAGAATTTTTCCATTTTTAAAGGTTATATAAATCCCTTGAACGCAAGTTATTTATAATCATTAAGTAACAAGGCGATTATAAATCTATACGAATTGCATTTTTTAGATGTGTAAACAGACAAAACAGGGGGTGCAAATATGTGAAACTGTGCTATGTCATTCTCAAACTACAGATGAAAATATCTTTATGGGAAAATGTCGGAATATGTCTTTTTACTATTTCAAACATGGCAATTGTGTCTCTATATGAAAAATAGTAAAGGTATTATTTAAGGAGATATACTTTCATAATACATTCATTATAGTCACCTTGATCTGTTATACATGTGTTTTTTAAATAAGAGAATTGAAAGTGTTTTTTTTATAAAACACATAAACTTTAAA